ATTCAAATCATGAATGCACATATTTATATTGTGCTGTACATTCTAATATTGTAAATTTGAATTATAAGACAGTAGCACGCGAGACTATGAATGATAAGACTTTGTCGATTGTAAAACGATTTATCGGAGACGGTTGGATTGAAACTAAAAATAAAAACTGGAGCGATGAACTTAAACCCTATGCGTCACGTAAAGATGAATTAAGTCTCGAACGTGGATGTCTAATGTGGGGTCAACGAGTTGTCATTCCTTTTAAAGTGCAAAACTATGTAATAAACAAATTACATGAGGCCCACTTCGGCAGTGTGAGAATGAAAGCTTTGGCAAGGTCAGTCCTGTGGTGGACTCACATCCATAAAATGATAGAAGATAAAGCAAAATCATGTAAGCATTGTGCTCAAGTATCAGATAACCCGAGAAGAATGTCTTTAACCCCATGGCCATGGCTCGACAATCCTTGGCAGAGGCTTTATGTCGATTTTGCAGGACCATTTTTGGGATATTATTATTTCTTACTAATCGATGCGTTCTCAGAATGGCCTGAAATTTACAAAATGACAAAAATATCGGCAAAAGACACAATAAGAATTTTTCAAAGTATTTTTGCAGCTCATGAATTACCTAAAACTATAATAACCGATAACGGCAGACAATTTACAAGTAAAGAGTGTCAAAATTTTTTCAAATAGCTAGAAATCAAACACATATTTACTGTACCTTACCAACCGGCAACTAACGGAGCCGCGGAAAACATAGTAAAAACATTCAAACGCAAAATCAAAGCGATAGGACAGTGCGAAAATATTAATGTTGAAACAGCGATAGAAAGATTTTTATTTGTATACAGAAATTCAAAACATACCATTACTGGTGAATCACCAGAAAAATTGTTGTTCAATCGTGAATTGCGAACACTTCTTGATTTATTGCGTCCAGATATCAATGATATTGTCACTTACAAGCAAGAAATGCAAATTAAAAATTATATGGGTAACAGGACTGACAAATTTGCTGTTGGTGACGCAATATTAGCAAGGGACTTCCGTAATAACCATGCCGAAATCGTAAAAGTTTTATCACCTCATAATTATTTAATAAAATTTAAAGAGGGAGAAGGAGTGCATAAGCGTCATGGTAATCAGCTTAGAGCTTATGGCGATCAAAAATCATACGGAAATGTAAAAGCGTTGATATACAAAAGCGTGATTAACAAGAGCAACGCAAACAAAGAATAAAACACGTTTGTTTTAATACGTTCCAAACGTCAGTCCAAAGCTGTTCAGCGTTATTGCGCTAACCTTCGATCTGTAAATAATGTACATACCAAATAAAGTTGTAATCTTTCCAAGCTCTAGAAATAGAATAAAAAGGAAGAAGGATGTAGTGTATGTTCACTACATATGTATGGTAGCTTGCGACACCTATTGTACGCCTATTGCTATTTATATTAAACTAGTTTGTTTTCGATGTTCCTAGAGTGTACACGTCATTTGTAAAGCCCTACCTCACATATAATATACTAAGGATATACAGTGATGAGAAGACCCGATGCATCATTATTTAGAGAGTGCGAGCTTAACTGGCGGGAAGTCTTACCGGTCATCAGATTGTCACGGTAACACGAAAAAAAATTTAAAAAATTCGAAAACTAACACGAAGAACAAAAATTCTAAAGACTAAGTATAATATTATTATGTTATACTCTTTTACATGCTTACTAGTATAGTAAATAAACTTAGTAGGAATTTAAGATAAAAAAATAAGCGCACCATAGTAATTTCCTAACAATGGTTTGGAAATTCGCTAATAAACTATACAGAAAAAATTGTCCTTATATTCTCATTCAATGAAGTTTACAAACGAAATCGTGTAGTTATCAGAGTAGTACAAGTAAGAATACAAGTTTGTTTTTACATTCCAAGAAAGTCAAGGGGTTCTAAGGAGAAAGTTCGACCACGTAAAAAAATTAAAAAAACGAATAAATTTTTCTTCGGGAATCAAATTAGGAGGGTTGAATAGAAAATTTAACCGAATTAAATAACTAATGAACTGAAATTGTTTTACCTTACATTAAAGGTGGCAAAAGAAGGCTTAGAGAGTATCAGAAACCATTAGGGAGTAAGGGTTACGTAAAAATTTTAATCTAATTTAATAACAGACAAACTTGAATAGTTTTACCTTATACTAGATGGGTTAACGGATATCCTGAAGCATGAAAAGGTGGGGTAACGGGTGGTTAGTAAAAGATTTCAGCTTAAAAAATGACTGTTGAACTAAGTAAGTTTCACCTTATGTTGAGAGGGATCAGCGTGGAACCAAAAATTATCATAAAGAATACAGTTGAGCTGACTACAGGTAAGAGCTATTGTACAAACGAGGAAAGAGCAAGGAATGAATTATTTAAAAAATTTATTTTTATTTATTCAAACATAAACTGAAATAATCTTATTATGTTATGAGGAGAACTGAGGAAAATCTAAAGAGAAGGGGAACGAATATGAAACCTAATAAAAATATTAAAGCAATTGAAAAAGTTTTACCAAATGTAAAAGGGGGTTGAGCAGGCTCAAAAAGCAGACAGAACAAGAAAGGAGGAGGGGAGGTATGAAATGACCCTCTATAATCACTGTAATGTAGGTATGTATAATTCGCGCGCACTTATGTATGTGTAAGGGTGTGTGTGTGTATGCATGTGTATATTCTTACACTCTCATGAATCACTTGTATTTGAACAGTGAAAAGAGATCGTTTGAAAGAGGCAAAGCTTACGCTTTGACAGCTTGAAAGAGAATGAATAGCTTAGTTACCGTGCTTGTTATAGCTTATGCTTAAGACTGCTGTTAAATAGATCAATGGAACGCACAACGCTAAACGCAGACTTACGTGATGGTGGAAGCTCGGTACTACAAAAAATAAAATTTGACAAAAAAAACTTCGAAAACCATTTTTATTTAAGACCGTATTAAAAAAAAGGTTAACCAGAATATAAGAGAACAAGCAGTATACAAGGAAATCATGTTTATAGAATAAAAAATAGTAATGATGTAGACATTAGGAATAAGTTGTCTGTCAATGGTGAGGCAGAAAATAATATGTAAAAATATTTTAGATTTTTTATGGTAAAGCTCTTGATGCATACGTATAACATTTGCGTTGGTGCAATGTACTCAGCAAAGTTAAAAAAAAAAAAGAAGAAAAGAAGGGGATTTAAATACTTTTTCTCCTAGATCGTAGCAGATCTCTTTTTTTTTCTTTTTTAAATGCCATAACATAATATTAAAATAAGTGTCTTTTCAGTTATTCATTTATTCTTACTTTGAATAAAGTATGATTGTCTCATACATGTGGAATTTCGTGCATCTATTGAAAGTATTAAATATTTTTGGTTTATTTCATACATTTAAGAAGTGAGATGGCTTTTAGTAAATTTGAAAAAAATCGTAAAACTAATAAATCATCTCATGGAATATTGCAATGAATAGATGGCTATTTTTTAAGTTCCATAGAAGTAGCATGGAGGCTTCAAGATTTTTTTTTTGAGGCAGAAGTCTGCCCATAAATAATTCATATTTATGGCCCATAATTAATAGCCTACAAATAGCCCATATTTAATTCACCTATTCGAATTAAGAGTAAACATCAAATTATGTGTAATGAAAAAAAAAAAAGAAGACGTAAACGAATCAGTTCAGAATTGAATTACAGCATTAACAGCATGGTTTTACTTGAAAAAAATTGCTTTATTTTCTAACTCTATTGAATGCATCAATGTTTCAGAAAATTATCTAATCAATAATCATGCAAAGTAATGCATCAAGCAAAAACATTTTTTTTAAGTATTGTTATAAGTGGATTAAATATTATTTGTCTTAAATAATAAAAAAAAGATTTTTTTTACATTGATACAAAATGGAGTGGAAAAAACAATATCTTTCATGTATTTGAAAACTTTAAACAAACTCTATGCACATTCGACGTGGTCTCTACCATACATTTATAGTTGGTGATACTAACCGTGTATATTCCTGCTCCGTACTATATTACACTGCTTTACGTATTAATTGTGTCAACCTACTTAATTTCCAAGTAGTAAGCAGGTATTTTGCTAGTGAACCTATTATTTGAAGCCTATCTCAAAGGTCCAAGCTTCTACAAACTTCACCGTGCTATGCTTTAAACAATAGTCTTTAAAGTTCAAGTTGCTTTGGGAGCCTCTAAAATTCTTCAAGCTAAGCCTAAAATAATAGTTTGCCAAAAAAACGCTAACTTGTCCCTAAAAAATCAAGTGGGTCTATACAATCATAACCTAAAATTACTGACCGTGAAAAATGCTTGCAAGGCAAGTGTACATCGATCATTAAAATGCGTGGTGGAGACCATGACTTTTATACGTAAAATACTCATACGTAGAACGCTTAATTTTTCTCTCCATGTGGAACTGAAAAGGTGGTATTATTAAGATATCTATATCCATTAAGAGTGCGCGGTGGCTCGGTCGGCTAGGTCGTGGATTGGCACGCGGGAGACCGTAGTTCAATTCCCGGCCAGTGCGACTTTTCGGGCAAGCACCTCTGTGATTGTTCACATGTGCTTTTTCACCACACAATGCTCCTCGAGGAGGGTTTAGGCGACCTCCTCGTAGCAAAATTGCCTAATTTCCCCCTATCCCCCTCCCACTACTGGGAGGCCTCTCATCCGTCTTCCCTTCCTTCTCCAAAGTGCTAAGTGCCCATAGTAGTGCGCTTATTAAAGGAGCCGGACGTAGAGCACTCTAATATAAAAAAAAAAAAAAAAAAATCTATATCCATTACAAATTTAATCTTTAAACATTGTTCTTATTCTACAATCTCAGTACTATTTCGCAATAACTTCTACTTTTTACTAACAAATAGAAGAATAAAGAACAGTATTTAAATTGAGCAAGAAGTATAAGTTTCTTGTGAACACTATTACAGTCCATGGATATTTTTGTACTAATTTTTTTCTTCAATTTTTTTCAGCTGGCTATGGCTGCTTATTTTGAAGACGTCCAAAGCAATACACGAGACATAACAGCTGATCAAATAACCCAAAAAAACTCAGGTCAAACTAAAAAGAAAAATGTGAGTTGCTTTACTCTTTTATTTCGACTAAAGTTATAAATTATGTGAATTATCAGATTTTTTTATCCTACCACTTTTTTAAACTACTTTCTTACACTTAATATATGTGCACCTTATTTTTTTTTATTGCAAACTGATTTTTACCTTAGTATTACACAAATTCAGCATGGCGTTGATATTAAAATCTGTAGTATCAGCTCACCTGGAATAAATTTTGTCAGGTATTTTAAAAAAATGTAAATTAGCAACAATTTTCGAATGTAAACAGCTTCTTCAAGAATTGTCAGGTAGAAATTTTTACCAAACATATTCGAAGTATATATATAAGATAAATGGTTCACTACAACCACGTTTTGTATTGAAGGTACCAATATAAATCTGTTTAAAGCTTAAAATTTATTGATTAAATAAATTATGACTGAAGTAAAAAAACGTTTCCTTAATCTTATATAGCTAAAAGAAATAATTTTTGAAAGTAATTATCGTTTTTGCTTTACTTCTTTGAATATTTATCATTTACATAACTCATTTTCTCTAGGCTGATATTCAATACTTCATATGTACTGTAATAGTGACATCTTTATACACTTTCCGACCATGTGGGCGTAACTGAGTGTGAAGAGGTAGGCGAAGAAGAGTTAAAGGTTCGAGAAAGTGAGAAACTAGCTTGGGATTGCGAGTGTATTGTATTGTATTGTATTATTCTTTATTGTGGCCTTATGGCTACGATATGTCTGGACCTCTAGTAACTATACGTTTGATAAGCACGGCACAGAGATCGTAGAAGTACATAATGGGTCTAGTAAATATAAAAATATAAGAACTAAATTTATCACATATATTGCAAGTAAGAAATAAAGAAAAATTAAATTCCCTGAAAATTTCATAAATAGTTAAGTTTTTAGTACCGAGGAGACGTTTCTAAGCAGCATCAGAAATTTTTATGTGAATTCGTAAAGACTAAGTTATCTATAAATTTATAAGAAGATTTAATAGAGATGATATAAAAAGGAGCAACTAAGTAAAACTATGTCAGAATGATACTGTTAGAAACTAAGAGTAACTGGTCAATTTTTTTATTTCAGGAATAAACATTGGATTTATGGAGAGTATTTGATGCTGTATTGTAAGGGTCGTAATTATATTAAGATATTTTAAGTATAAATTCAATAACTGTTATTTGATGGTTCTTTTATGTGACGTTATATATTCATGTGAGTTAGTATTAGTGGATGTACTTTTAAGAAGGATAGAGGACCATGGGGACTCGTGGGTACGATGTTGGATTCGTATTGCCCCCAACTTGTATCACGAGATACTTCAGTGGATGTCTGCAAGGACGTAGTCAGATTCGCAATGCCCCTGACCCGTGGTGCACACGTCTGATGGTCTAATATATTAGTAAATAAAAATTTATAGGACTCTCTTGAGTTCCTGTTGGGTGCGGTAAGTCGCCTAGAAACCGGGATTGCTTCAGTTCGTATTGCCCTGAAGGTCCGCCAGTTCGTTAGCTTCCTTACCTAGAGGATAGCTCCGGTTCGTATTGCCCCGGAGATCCGCTCCTTACCCGAGGAACACAAAAGAGGAGTAACTGGTGTACGGGGAAAACTAGGAGACTGTAATAGCCTCTTCGTCGCCCTTATAGCCAGTGCAGTATTTAAAATGAATAGTGTAATATAAGAAATGATAATCAAATATACATGTATAAATACGCTATTTATTGCGATAATATTACAACAGTGCTTTGAAGAGCAGAGCTCCCTAGTCAAAGCGCCGGACTCGTTGCTGATGGCAAAAGTGATTAACGTGGGCTTGTATGGGCCTTTTATACCCTCCAGATTCGCAGCGGCGTCGGCGGCTTTGATTAGGCGGCTCGAATGACTTGCACATTTCGACGCGATTCACAATCATTGTTTGTTTCGGCATACATATAAGTGTTTTGTATAGTCGCGTTATAGGCGCTTGTTTCATCCATCTTACGTATTTACATTCTAGCAAACCGGGTTGCGAGTGTTTTAGGGGTAGCATCTTGAACTCAAATTGGTGATAAGCAAATAATTACTTACTATATGAATTAGTCCCTCACAGTATATATTAAATTCTCGGTGCTAATATGGTTGAGTTGTTAAGATAAAAGTAAGACTTTAGAAAAATTAACTTTATGTATAATTGACTTTATATTATAAGTTTGTGGTTGGTTAAGAACGGGATGTATCCATAGCCCTAACGTCACTGAGGGGCAGGCTGTTTTTTAAGTCTAAAGGTTGAAAGGCTTTCAAATTTTGACAATCCATAAGACAGACTAAGAATTTCATTTTCTTACGTTAATAGACTACACGAGCAACTATACCATGAGATATGGATGGAGAGGACGTTGTGTTAGAAATTTTTTTTAAGGTGCCAGGGGGCTTAGAAGGTTGACCAAAGACGATAAATCCGAGCAACTGATTAAGTGGAGTAATTTACTAGTTATTTTAACTTAAGGGTCTTGCAGTACAATAGATACATTTGTAATTGAAAATTCACTTATTCATACTAAGGCTGACATAGTTGCCAAAAAGTCTTTTTTATCCTGATGCTGCTGTACAGCTTGATGGATCTTGACCATATCATCTTTCACGCTCTATAGTAGTAAAAGTATTTTTCAAGTAAGCAATGTCATTATGAGAGAATTCTCTGTCAGAATCTTAAGCTTTGTTTTCGCAAATGATGTATAATCTGTTGCCAACAACTTTTTTCGTGTGATTCATATCAGATTGTTTCAATATGGCGTGATCACTAGCTTTCCGAATAGCATTCATATATGATTTATCGTTATTAGCGGTAAGTACTCCCACTTTAGAATTTCTTTCTTTTAAAATTTTGCTGTTCAATCCGATTTTAAGCAGCTAATTTCTATAATCCGACGCGCTTACTACCAACCTGTTTATTTATTTAATAAAACTAAATCTTGAGCAGTCACTTTCTCATACCCGATGCGGTTATTGCTAGCGCGTTTATTCATTCAATTAAATAATAGTTCAAGCAGCTAATCTCCTATAATTTGACGTGTTTACCTATAGCGTGATGATTTGATTATTAAAATAATATCTTGAGCGGCTAATCTCCTGCAACATAACAGGCTTACTGCCAGTGCGTTTATTAATTTAATAAAGTAATAGCTTGAACAGCTATTCCATACATAACCCGACTCACTCATTAAAAGAGATTTGTCAACGACACTTTGTCTATTGTCTAGTAATATGACTGTTAATTTGAAATACATTATGAACTACTGTGTTCTGTGACAACGTATTGACGGTACAAAATATAAAATATCACAATGAATTTTGTTAACACACCATTTCTTAAAAGTATTCTTCTGTCTTGTTTCATCGTTAACAAAAATCTATTGTTCTCAAATAAAATGTACTTAGCACCCACACATTCCGAAATTTTTAAAGAAATTACAGTGAAAAAAATTGAAGAAATTTTGTGTATCCGGACTTACAGATATTTGTAAACGTTTACTTCAAACTTACATTTTTTTTATGAATTTAGAATTTATTGATCCAGATATAGCTTCAGACGAAAAAACAAAAAATAATTTTAAGATCAAAATTCTTTTATAAAAAAAAATGTTTATTCTTAAATTCTAATTCTATAGATTCTGAGTTGCAAACTTTATGTACACATTTTGACGTAAACGAAAAAAAGCTTTTATTAGTTTTGATACGGAACAATTCTTGAGTAAAAAAAATTGATTTGAAAAGTGAGGCAGGAGAATGTCATTTCTCTGCGTTAATATTCTTGTTAGAAATAATATTTTCAGTACCTCACTTGGATGATGAACCAGTAATAGTTTTTTCTGTGATACATAAACTAAAAGATGAAAAAACTCATAGTACCAGGACTTTATAAATTATGCAAAAAGTTGTTATAAGTGGTCTATTGGGGTGGACGGCTTTAAACAGAGCGGGAGAGTTGAGGGTGGCTGAAGTCGTCTTCGAGGATATCGATCAGCGGTCGAGATCGAGCAGCAATAAGCATCCTGTGCTAGAAACTCTATGCGTAGAAAGGTGCACATCGCCTCACGTTAAGCGCCAAATTGTTATGAGCGGCCTTTTGGGTGTAGACGGCTTAGAACAACGAAAGGAAATAGGGGTGGACGAGAATCCTCTCCCAGGGAATCGAGTTGGCCGTAGAGATGAATCCATGGAGAAACCCCTAGATTGGAGGCTCTAGGCGTAGTGAGGTTGTGCTTCTTTAGATTCTGATGCTGCCGTTGGAGCTAGTGCTGCTGATGTATAGTTTGGGCAGTCAGAATCGAGCAGTAGTAAGCACCCTATGTTTGTGACTGTAGGTGTGGAGATGTACACTGAGAGAAGTGCACAGCTCATAGCAGCATGCTACGCCATCCATCTTAAGATGATATCACGTCACAGCTACGCAAACTGCTTAGCAGACTCTAGGAGTATGACATGCACTCTTGCAGTTAATGGGAAATAAGCAGCTTTGCGAAGAGTGACGATCATTGCTACTATCCATTCTATATGATATAGTCGTGCTTCCGCGCTTGCTGATCGTATTATTGTACCTGAGTTAAGGTTTTACTGTAACATGCTTCTACTTTCTTTTTCTCATACTACTTAATTGAAAGTATTGACTAAGTATTAAATTACTTCAAACTTATTATCCAAAGTCGTATTCATATTAGTTTTTTTTATTTGTTTTATTCATTTCATTTTTATTTTTTTTTTAATTGTACGAAGGTGAGGAATATGTTTATGGTGTTCAATTTCTTTAAAATTTAAAGATCGTAAATATCTTTTATAAAATTACTAAATACATTAGTTATCTGCTGAATGTCACTTCTTCGGTATCTCAAATTGTAGTACAATTCGCACTTTAGTTTCAAGATGTGTTGATTCGTATTTTCTTCCATTTTAACTCTAAATAACAAATTTACAAAATTAGCATTTTTTAATGTTTACTCTACTTTTATATTAACTTTTAACGTG